TCACAGCACTGGGATGGCACCAAATATTATACATCCTGACACAACAATTTACAACCTCCAGGATTTTATGGCAAATCTTGAAAAAACAAAAACATTATACACTATTTGGAGGTACGATAATTAAGTCTATAAAACTAAATTAAAAATACAGTTAAACAGTTTACAGAAATTGTTTGAATAAAAAATGTAGAATGTGAACTTTGCTTCAATCACAAAGAAATAAAAAAAAAACATTCTGATTAGGCACAGCTAACAGTCACAAAAACTTTTTCACTACCATAAAAATTATATAAGCATGTTTCTTCGACAACAGCATCTATTCTAATATTACTAATCATTTTTACGTACTGCTACCTCTCGTTGTTTTAATCTATTTCGTCTGTTTAATACTTCAACTGCTCTAAAGGAACGGGCGCGAGGCTTACATTCTAATATATGACTTTTTTAGATGCTCCCTTGCATTTTTACGTGTTTTTTAAGGGGTCGCTGATCGTTTACAACGGCAGACGTCAAGCGCTAAAAAATGGAAATATACATCGAAAACGTTATCGATTCTTCAATCACTACTAGTACTAGTGTTGCGCCTGTGGTTTTAATGACTCATCGTGGATTTAACTGAATTCTTTCAGCTGTGTGATATAAATTACATCGTGTGAAAAACTGTCCGCTAATATTATTATGCTAAATAATTTACTCAAGGCCCAAATCACAAGAAGGGTAGTTGAACTTTATCAAATGGAACACAGACATATGAGCTCCGAAACTTGAAAGCCACGAGATAGTTCAACTTGATATTGCTGCACTTATGGTATTGTAATTCAATAATAACACTGATTTAAAAGTTTTGATTTTCAACTCTAGCACTTTAAAAATATTACCCAAAATCTGCAAATTATGCAGAATTATAAATCGCTATTTTCAAGAAACATTTTATTATTGACAGTATTGAGGTGAACATAATGATGAAATGCTATCAGTTACCGTAAAGACCATTACATTGTGGTGCCGTTATAGTACCTGTCACATTACTGGTTTGCACTCGGATACTGTATTAATCATTACGTAATAGTACAGAGCATTACGTTTTGTTGATGGGGTAATGCCCGTTAGTAGTAGTTTGTACTACTGTGGAACCACTTGGATAAAACATTCAATTAAAGAGGTAGAATTATTCAACAGATTACTACATCTCACTAAGAACTTGTAACTGTACTTATCTTTACATCTTGTTGCTAAGACAGTCTACACAATATTGATATTGAACCAGTTTCTAAACAAAATTGTTATCTCAATAGTAAGATTATGTATTAATGTTCATGATAGTATCAGTTGCTGTACTATCACCATCTTGGTGCTAAGATGGCACCATACACACCATTATATGTTTATTTAAGATAGTTCTTGTTACGATACAGACCCATTATTTTGGTGCTAAGAAAATATTGTACAGGTTCAATGACGAGGAACCCACTTTGAGACTAATAATGGTTGGAGAATGGGTAATGAAGAAAAACTTTAATATATGTTTAACATAACAGCAAATGTACAACGTTTCGACAAGGTTTTGTCATTATCAGGTACCGTTGTACATTTGCTGTTATGTTAAACTTATATTAAATTTTTGCTTCATTACCCATTCAAGCCATCTCCAAGCATTATTTTACAGGTTATTATATGATGATTGTAGGTTAGTAACAGTTACCGTACATACAGAACATCCCGATCCATTATTGAGTAAACCGTTACATCATGGTATGTTAGTAACATTTACTCAATAATGGATCGGGATGTTCTGTATGTACAGTAACCTGTTACATAATGGTGCTAGGAAAAGAAACATCAATATATGTATAGATTTCAATGTAGTAAAGTTAAAGTAGTAACAGTTACTATACAGTGTGGGTGCTAGAATAATGCATGTTCTTACACAGACATCAAGATTTTGATTGCAGAATGACACCCATTACTGAATATCTCATTAAAATCACATTAATCACTCACAAAGAAAACAAGCTTACTAAAAATGTCACATCTAGTTTACAGCAGCCTCAGCCCCCGTGAGATTAAACAACATGACTTATAACTGAACAGAACTTGGAAAGGTTTTCAGGTGGGTGTCTCCATAAGCTAGGGTTAAACACCTGTTATTAGACCATTACTTCAGGGCAAAGGTTTCTATACCTTAGAACTCAATGGAAGGTGTTAATGTACACTCCCCAGCATTTCCAACCTTCTGTACAGTAGGCTGTACATGAAAGACTGAGCTAGAAAGACATAATGGTTGACTAGCCCACGACAAATAAAATATGTTTAACTAAACAAATTAACATGTTAAAAATAAAATAAAAAATTAAAAAGAACATACCACTCAAAACTCAATAAAAACGTATGTAGTCTTGATTCAGTGAAGATGTAATAGCACATTATCTAAGGCCATGATGGATGAAGCAGATCCTACACAATATAATACAAATATAAGTATAGGTCATAGAGAAATGGAGCTGGTTGACTACCCCATCCATCTTAACATGTCGCTGTAATCCTTCTAAAACCACATTATACTGAAATATAATGCACCTATATATCACACCATAATGTACAGCAGTTGGAACTACACACATACACCAGTGAAAATGGTGTACACATTATTACACCATAATATACACATTCATGAAAATATACTCTCATAGCATGCTGTAACACAGTCAATACTGTACACGTTCTTACATCACACTGTAACACAGTACTGTACACGTTCTTACATCACACTGTAACACAGTACTGTACACGTTCTTACATCACACTGTAACACAGTACTGTACACGTTCTTACATCACACTGTAACACAGTACTGT